TTTTTTAAATAAATATGTATGGTGGACATAAGCTTCAACCTAAAAATTAAATTTAATTGATTATAAAATTTTCTTCCCCAGGGGTTTCGTTCGTTTTTCGTCATTGTTTATTAGATTATTGCTTTTATCCCTTTTTGGATAGGATTTTGTTTATTGTAGTTAATTAATAGTTTATTTATTCCTTTTTTTACATATATGTATGGATTTTATAAATAAATGACCGAAGTTCCGACCTTAGTTTCTACAGCGATTACATTTATTTCATTTATTGTATTGATTTTATTTATTGTCGTTTGATATACAATGTACAATTGTCAAAGAGCAACAAAGACATTATTATTATTAATATTAAATATCTAAAACACCAAGTTATTTCGTGATATTAATTAATAATCAAACAAAAAAACAACAACAATTCTAGTACGATAACAATTTAGGAATATTTTTTTATTTACGATAATTACTCTCTACTCTTAACTACTATCAATTGGCCAACCGCACATCAAAGAATTCTATTCATCTCACAAAGCGAACTGTAATATAAACAAACCTTAATAAGTAAGAGAATAAATAAGAGAATAAACAATTTCTTTTGCTACTCCAAGAGCGTTGGAAGGGTTTGTTTTAGGGTTCCACAAAACCCCTTATTTGCTCAAGCTTTGTCATCACTTTGTTTTGGGACTTAAATATGCAATGCGGAGAAAACTTTTAATGTGTTTGTACAGGGTAACTCAAAGGAATATACCCTTTGCAGAATGTATTTTTACCAGAGTTTTCACTTATTTAACTGTGATTATGTAATGAGTTTGGGAATGTTTTCACAATGTCAATAGTTATTGTGATTATTGGGTTTTATTGAGTATTTTGTTAGATAGACTTATTCAGGCAAAGATGAGGAAAATATATAATACCTACATTTTATTTTGAAACTGACATGTCCAGGGTTTTATCTAACTTTGTAGGGGTAAGTAAATTAAGTTTTCACAGTTTTCATCCAACTCTAACATTACATCCAACACAAATAATAGTTCGTTTTATGGATAATTTCCGTAGATTAATGTCCCGGTTGTTATTCCTAGCAGATATATTTTACTATTTCATATTTATTAATAATTTACAGTTTTATTGGATTTTTAAATTTTCTATAATATTTTGTATTCAAGAATTTGTCATTTTTCCTTGCTACTTTAACGTCGTTCCTATTTTATGAAACAAATAACGGAACCAGATTTTAAATCAACTTGTTTTAGCGGATTTTGGTTTCATATAAGTAATTGTTGTGGGCAGTAAAAATTAGTGTTGCTATGTTGGCAACGCAAATGCCAGCTGATCATTGTTGGCGACCAGCTGTAAACTATTCTGCCAACATTCCGAAAACAATGCCACTGTTGACATCAGCTCGTACGTAAAGTATGTCACCTTCTTTAAATTATTGTTGCTAGTTGAGCGCAATGATTTTAAACTAACTAAAAAAACAAATATTTTTGCTGGGAGTTATGTGATTTGAAGGGTTATTTCAGCCATTTTCCACTACCTTAAGTCACCTCTCATGATCAAAAAGAAGGACCCAAAACAGGTGTATATATATATACCCTAAACCCTCCCCCCTACACCCTGCCCCCTACATCCTCCCCCCTACACCCCCCTACACGCCACCCCTACCCTACACTCAATTTACAAAATAAATTCTTTCCCACATACTATTTATGGGGGAGAAAGTCAATTTTGATTCCCAGTGTATTTAAAACGAAACCTCATAAGATTACCCCCCATTACAACGTTTCTAGCCCAATCACAGACAACTTCAAAGGGGTTCCTTATACAAACCCTTTCTCCTAATTGTCTAAGCGGAAAGTTCACGATGCAAATCCTCCTCCGATATAATTATAAAAGGTTAACTTCGGTCTCATGCAAGTTTCAGGGTTTAATGCACCGCTGAGCTTAGTAATGTTGTTACAGTGTTATACCCCCCCCCCCCCCAACAAACTACCCCTTTCATCCCTACAGATTGTTTGTAAGTTCTCGCTCCTATTAGTGACTTCGGATGTCTTGTCTTGCCTACATTATTCATTAGTCGTAATGTGGTTTTGTAGGTAGCGTATAGCGTCGATGTAGAAATTGGAGGTAAGTTGTTGAACGTGAAAGTGAAGTGAAGGAGTTAGAAAATACATATATGATAACAACATTGTTTTTCTTTTCAATATAAGAAATGTTCAAAATTATTATTTTCTTCCCCATTGCATAATTATATGGAGTTGTATTTTTTTTTTGTCTAAACCTTCAAGTTTGAGTTTTGGGTGTAAATATCCGTTTTTGGTCCCCTGAATCCAAAAAGTGGTTTTCGAAATGATGTGTGTGTGTGGTTGTGTACGGAGCTACAAACTAAATATGTGGTACGATTTTGATGGCGTTTGATTCTTCGGTACTAATCCATAATATCTTCAGGTTTTTTTCATTTTAAAATTGTATTGAAGTTTTCTCATAAAACCCGATAAAAACGGAAAATCGGATTTAATAAAACTGTTTGATTTTGATAAGATTTTTATATTTTATGGTCCTTTTAGCTCTGAAAATGGTTTAACGCCCATGGCTTAAAAACTACAGTTCAAAAGTTATTGAAATAATTTGTAGTTTTTTTTACCATAAACTAGCATAGTTGGTTACTCCCACCTCTTATCCATTAAAACTGTTGTTGACAAGATATTCAATGAAGGTATGCATCAGCTAGCTGATACCGTTTATTGTTTTTATATAATATATAATCATAGACAAAAAGAATTAAATATAGACCGCACACCGCTGGGAGCACCATGTTGTTACGGCGTACGTGTTACGTAGCTACACGGCGCTCCCAGTGGTGTGCGCCAGAACCTATGGTATTCGTGGTAACCACTGCACGGCTGACAGTCTATATTTCCTTATTTTTCTGATATAATCTACTACTTTTGAATGTTTTAAGTTTTTTTTACGAAATTCTGATCAGTTACTATCTAAAGTGAAAAAGTTGTTACAAAGCATAATTAAATAATATCCCTATATCAAATTAAATCTTAATGTAAAATAGAATCTTGCTAGGATTCGAACCAGCTACCTTCAGAATAAGTGAGCTATACAATCATTACAGTTAACATTTAGTTAATTTGGTAATCATTGAGGTCACTTTTGGGTTTTATCTTACTATTCTCGAATTTTAACAGCAATATAAAAATCAATTATAAGTCAAATGGTTTATCTTGCATAGAGTACAGGCAAATGTGGTTAGAATTAAAATATTATCTAAGACAAAGAGATAAAATAATCGTCAATGGAATAGAATAGATAGATTTTTACATGCAATATATTTTGTTTAGCTTTATTATAATTGTACTACTAATTGTATAACTGACTAACTATGTAAGATTATCAATATCAGATTGAAAGACATGAAAAACAAGAAACATAAAAATAACCACCCTCCCAGGTAAAAACGTAAACTCACAAACGTAAAAATCGCTCAAACAACAGCGATGAGGAACAGAAGATGAAAAAGAAATCGGAAACAAACAAGAGCGAAGCAAATAACCGGGACGCGACATTTTTAATGAGTTAACATCAGAGAGAAAATGGCGGACGTAACCAAATAAAAGAATTAACCGACTTTGGGCTGTTTGGACGCTCTAAGCTTGTCCCGTAATTGACAAAAAGATCTCAAACGACTCTCTCATGTGGAAAAATTCAACAGACGTCTACTCGCCATTGTAGCAATAATTAAACAGCCCTCCTCTCCAATTCGTCAACTCTAATTGCTTCTTATTTAATAACATTGTGCGTAACTTTGATTTTAAATGTGAAAAATTAATTGGAAGTGAAAACTTGCAAAGTTTGTTTGAAGTTTGTGACACTTGGTAAAAAAGTGAATTTTTGGGAATGTATTATCTTTTAGAAATTACGAAGGGTAATTGGAGTTTCAGATTTAAATTAGGATTTACGTTTTTGGAAATATTTTGAACAATAACCATAGACTACTTGATAAAAGTTATGGAATGAAGTTTACTAATTAGTTCAGCTTTGTCATAACGTATATAAAAGTTAATAATATGAAACCATTTTCTGTTTCATAACGTGTTGTGTATAATTTTAAAAATACAAATAAAATCTTTACTGTTTCCACAAAAAGTTTTTAAAATTTAAAATTTCGGAAACTTATAATTTAATAATGTTATTGAAAGGCTAACTGCAATTTAACGTTCATAGTAAAATTATAAAAAAATAGCTTATACAATATTTTGTGCAATATTATTTACAGTATTACTTAAGTAATTGTGTGTTACTAATTTGTAAATATAGAGGCATTGAGATGTAAGAATAAATCGGTTATTTATTTGTAACTGTTTACACGTTTTTTGGAGTTTAATAAATATTGTATTACATTAGTTTAGTATTAACAACAGACACACACGCCCTAACAGACATGATCGTTCAAAGAATAATAAATGAGGTGTTTTTAATAATTTATAAAATGCGTATTTTGACTATCTCCCCCTATATACATAGTATATTGAGAAAGTATTGTTTTCTTCAAGACTATCGAGTTTGATTTTTCGGTGTTATAGAACGTGGGTGTGTACAGAGCTACAGACTACTCCTGTGGTTAGATTTTGACGTAATTTGGTATGTGAGTACTTCCTCTGGTATCTCCAGGGTTTTTTTTTATTTTGAGTGATTTCGCCATACAAAACCATAAAATAGTGAGAAATATCTGATTTTAATATTGTTTGAACGGTAAAATTTGAAATTAAGTATGTTATGGTCCTCTAATTCTAAACAAAAAAGGTACAGTCTCCATTACTGTAAAAACTACGGTTACAAAGTTATTGCAAGTTTTGTGATTTTACCCATAGTTATTCCCACCACTTACCCGTTATAAGGGATTCTGTCAAACTTATGAAAGTGTGTGTCAGTTTATTTTTCATAAAAATAATATGAATTTGTGATTTTACTGATTTCTTCCTCTTTTCCAGGATGACAGCGAAGTCCGAGCTGTGAGAATGTGTCCGCATTGAACGTGACGGGTGAGTGAGATCATATAGTAGAGAATGTATATATATATATATATTTTACCTTAACGGTGAAGTATAAAGTGTAACTCATATTTTAACCCCTATACACATCATACAATTTTGATAGACAGTTTTTTTTACAACCATCATACAAAATATATACACATTATTGTATTACCAATACATAATTAAGGTTAAGGTATTAGGTTTTAAGTATCTTACGACTGATCAAGGTGATAAGAGAGTTTAAGGTTTATTCAAAGCTTTAAAAACTTAAACGTCGCATGAGTTGTTTAAACATTGACTTCGAATTTTATTTGAAATCTAAGTAAAGTTCTGCTTGATTACATATTTGTCAAACTGTATGTTTTACTATCAATTCAGGGTGGATTTATGTGGACATTACAAGTAAGTAATGGTAATATGAAAAGCACTCAACAAATATACCAGAATCAAAAACTAACCCCACCAACTATCTACACGTAAAGACTCCAAACGTGTTTTCGACTTGGTGTATCCATCGGTGTTTAGACAGACATGTCTCTTGTCTCTTGGGCCCGCGCATGCGCAGAACAAGTTTATAGTAGTTTCGGAAAATTATACAACATGGAAAATCCTGACTTAATTTCAACATACCTCAAAAATATTGACAACCTTTCTTGAATGCTAATTGATTTCCGATAGTTATTATCCTCGAAGCTACATTTATCTTTTTACAGACCGCACAGTTTTTCAAAGGTTTCCGGTTTCATCCTATGGCAGTTTTGAAACTTTTCAGGGTGTTGAAACAACTGTCTTGTCGAAGTAAATTGACTGGACAACTGATTGTCTTTCCAATAAGGATGGTTCCAGAATTCTCTTCGAACATGTATTCTCTTCGAACATGTATTCTCTTCGAACATGTATTCTTCGTTGTCGTCGTCTTCTTCTCCTCAACACCAACAGCAACAACACATTATCTTCTTCTAACGATGACATTATTGAAACCGATGAATTTTGTGATTCCCTCACTTTCATGTCGCCAGCACGTGCCTCTTCCATGGTTTGTATTTTATTGTATGTCGCCGACATCATGCTAGCGACATCAGATATATCAGCGACATTATGTCGGCGATACCTGTGTGTAACCCGCCTAAAACTTGTTTAACGCTCTGGACATAAGGCAAACGTGGACGTAGAATTTGTCTTCTGTTGCCTGACTATCTTCTAGAACAATGTTTACAACAAAAAACTGTTCTTAGAGGATTTTACTTTATGATCCTCGCTTTATTTATATGTCGTTCTTCATAGCTGAAATCTTATTTTTAAGTTAAACACTTTTGCTAGAAGTTCAAGTTATTTTTCTCAATGTTGAAGAGCACTTACCCGAATTTGAAATTCTCTTAATCTAAATTGAAGCCCCATTGTTGAATTTGAACATATTTTACCCGAAATAATAAAAAAAAAAAACTGTTTGGTCGATCTCTAAACTGTCTTTCTTGAGGTTACAAATTTCTTGCTCAAAGATGATGCTTCTTTGTTCGAAGTCAATAAATTTTCTCCGTTGTAGTCGGGGAGTTGAAACACCTTTGTCCGAAGGTAAATAGTCTTTATGTGAAATTAAAACATCCTTGCTCGAGGTCAAAATTGTTTTATAGGTGAAACAGTCTTGCTTTTAGCTTTTATTTAATACTTTTCAATTAAATGGCGACCATACAAAGTAGGTATTTTAAGCCAAGTGTAAATTGAGATGAGTGTAGAATGAGTGGCGCGATCTTGTAGTCTTGTTCGTGACTAAGTCCGACATATTCTTTAGACACAGCTGTTAATTAATAGCCCATACAATGGCAACTAAGGGACCTACAGTTTATAGTGGAATCCGAACCACCTTGGTATTAACGAATTGGTCTAATTATCTGGATAGTACTGCGGATATTCGTAGTACTCACTAGTGCGGACGTTAATCCACACCAGGGAGTATCGTATCCACAGCGCATGCCTATAAGTATCCACAATTCGTGACATCCTAGTAGCTGGATTACAGGACGTCGCCACCGTCCCATTCGAACCTTTAGCTCCCTGATTCATAAGCTCCAATCTTATCAAATCACCAACAAAAATAAATCGTAACAAAACAATTTTTCTAGACCCCCACATTTGTTCCCCCAAGTGACTTTCCACCCCACGGACCACAGCACAATCCGACTCTCAACTCTTCGGTCCCAATTTGCGGACGGGCGCGCGCCGCCACTTCCAGTACAATTAAATAATAAACCCTCCACTCGGGGGCCGCTCCCCTGCGTGTGGCCCACTCGTGTACCTAATCAGGGATATTGGCGGGAATTGTTCACACGGCGCTGCGAACGATCGTGGAAAAATAATGAACAAGGACCTTTTTGACTTATTGTGGCGTGCAGGTTTCGCTTAGGGATTGGATTGGAGATCTGTGATTTAATTGGATAAAAAAATGGAATTTCGACTATTGATTTAACACTATGTTAAAGTAGTGGTTACACAAAAAATTATTTTAGTTGAATTAAGCGACCGAGTGAGTGCGTTGTGATTTTCAACCAAGTGAAGATGATACGACTTATTGTAAGATATAGCATATTTTTTATATCACCTGACTAATTAACACAAACCAAAGGCGAAAATTGAATTATGAACGGTTCTAACTATTCTTGTTCATTCAGCTATGTTCTTTTTTTTAGTAATAGGCTACAACTAGTCCATAAACGGGTTGTCTGCTTATGAAAAAAAAAATACTCCCCTTCAGATTCATTACGCGGAACAGCTGAAGACAATATTAAGGTCCTGTTTAGATTATATTTAGGGGTTTTAAATGTTAATATAGACAGTTTTTTGTCATATATGTTAGTTGTGTTTGAAAGGAATGTCAATAGTACTTTTAAAGAAACCCAAAAAATAAAATGAATGTTCCTTAGCAACGTGAACATCAAAATCCTTCATTATTATTTTTTAAATGTGTGTTTTGTAATGATTTAGGAATGTACTGGACCCCGAAGCTACAAAAACGCTTGAATCAATTGGGTAATTATCGGGTTTTGAACCCCCTAACACACTGAATAAAAGTCCCTTCCATTTACCACCACACCAGCCTTGAAAACGGAAATATGTGCAGCTGTAAACCACAGTAAAACCTCGATAACAAGACTCTCATGGGGATTAAATACCAATACAGACCCCACAGTGTCTTGTACCGTTGGAACTGTGTTGGGAGTCTAAGAGACTTCTTATCGAGGCTTGAAAAAACATGTGATTAGGGCTCAAATAAATTCAAGGTGTACCCAAAATGACACTTGTTATCAAGGGTGACTTGTTATCGAGGTCCTGCTTATTTTACGAATTAAATCCGTGAGATTCTCAATTGTTTTACCTTGTAATTATTCAATATCCTTGTGCCTCTCTATGTCGTGTTTTGGGGGGACTGTTAAGGGGCACAGGGGGGAGGGGGGTATAAAAGCCAGCGTCAGGTTTACAAACACTCTGCAGCGGCGCTTTTGATCCCCAACATCTGACATTGTGGTGTGGGAAGATCAGTCATAAATTTGTGATCTGCGTCTGTAGCTTGTGTGTCGTGTTTTGGGAAAGATGAGATAAAATAAGATGGGAGAAGTATGGCGTTTAGTGTTAGATTAGATTAAACTGACTATCTCGAAGGGTTAAATTTTTTTCTCCTATGGGTTGATTAATTCATAAGTTTTACATATTATTACTTTTTTAGGAGTTGCTAGTTTTTAATTACGATAAGCCATAGATAAAAAATGTCTTCATCTACTACTATCCACCATGGAATACTGATATCGTTATCCTCTAGGCCTTAAGTCGAGTTCTTAGTTTATGTCCAAGATTTGATTCAAATAAATATTATAACGTTTCTGTAGATCTTGATATAACTGAATCTACAAAATTACTGATTTTTAAACCAAGTTTACGAAATATACATTAGGTTAAACATGGCGTAGATGTTTCCGACAGTCAAATACAATAATAAACCTATATCTTCATCACCGAATTAATAGGTTTACACGATTGTAACTTTTGTGAAACTTACAATAGTATTTGGTACTTTTCTGCTATACCTATCACACATTAAAGGTTAGGCTAGGTATATAAATAAGTTTCAATCAAATATAATGAAACATTAACTTATGTAATTTTAAAAATATTGGCAACATTTAAGCATGACACATTTAATAATCAGCTTTTTAGTATTTGAACACAATGTGAGACAATTAAAGAGAAAATCACTAGCGGTCTTTAGAAGAAAGGTCCAGTATCTAGAAAATAAAACAAACAAATTATTGACTCGCAACAAAAAATACATGACGATTAACCTTGTATTACAAAAGGAAGAATAAAACAGGTGGGAAAAATGGAGGGTAACTCAAGGAAATTAAAGACAAAAATTACACTGTACCATTTTACTAAAAGAAGGGAATAATAATATAAACAATACCTCCTCTGAAAGACTTGTCCCGTATTTTTCTGTCCTAGAAGTTGTGATGTATTTTTATAATGTTCTGGACTCCAAAACTTATTTACTCACCAAATGTGCCTTTGAGAGGGGTTTAAATCTAAGGGATAGTAAAACTAGAGGGAGATCTAGGAAATTAAGACAAACAATTAAACTGCCCAATTGCAGTTATTCCCTTTAAAATCGATAACAAGTTAACAATAGCTTATTCCCTCATCGGGAAAGTCGATAAAATTATCGAATATTGGAAATTAGCTAAAAAGGGAATAAGAACTTAAACAATATTACCTCTATGAGAAGAATTTGTCACGTATTTTACTAAACCAATCCACCAAAAGTCACTACAAATAACTTTCCTCGTGTCCGAAGACGATGTATTTTTAATAGGGTTGCGGACTTGAGAACTTGGGGGGAGAAGATCTGGAAAAACAAATTATAGACTCTCCAATACACCAACCTTTGGGGGGGTGTCGGGTAAATTTAGGGGGGGTACAGTTTAGATAATTTAAAAAAAATCACTGTTATCGTTAACAAT